TTATTTTTTATTTGTCATTTTTCATTCATTTGTTTCATTCAATTCGCATTGTTGTTACAGAAGTCAATAGTAATAACAACTGTGAATGTCATGCAGCATAAACTGCTGCATTGAAATTTGATAGTACGATTATCGCTATGAAAATTTGCTTTTTTTATGCGCCCTGCCATGTCGATTCGGTTATTAATGATTTTTTTCTGATTTTTTTTTTTCCCACCCATAAAAAAGACGTGTGGGCGACAATGAAATGAATGTAAGGGATCATAACAAAGGATGAGGGCTCATGGGAAGTTTTTAGTATGTAGACAACTGCGTGTAGCATTCCCGTTCTCCAGAACAAATTGTTATACTCACGAAAAATATGACGTGGAAAATAAACAAACCAAATTTATTTAAAGAACTTCCGATGCGATAAAAATGGTGGGAAAATTATGAAAAACGGAAGTGTGAAATGGCAACATTTGCTTTAATTTAGTAGAGCGAATAACCGAAAGCATGAGATGAAGACATTGTGTCGCCATTGATGTCGCCAAAATGTATGTAGATGTATGTAATCTATTATTTCTTATTTTCTAACATTTACAACAAAATTATGATGCCTGTAATTGACTATAAACTAATAGTTAAAAAAATTTTAGGCTTTGACTTGTTGGAAGTATTCACAAGGTCTTGTTAACATCGTGACTTATTCATTTGTATTCATGAGAACCGTTTAAGACAGTGTTGTCCAAACTTTTTGAGCCACAGCACATCTGAGAAGTAAGCCATGACCGAAGTCGCACACAACATGCGGCTCGTGTCAGTTTCAAAAAATTTCTACAGCACACTAGTGTGCCGTAGCACATAGTTTGGACAACACTGGTATAAGATATGGGTAATGTGAATTGACTTAACATTTTCTTGCGTGTGTTTTCTTTAAAGAAGGCAACTCGTTGTGGCGCAATACCCATACCCTCTGTCTCATTCCCCTGTTTGTTCCTAAAAAACAGGCAGAATATCGATTTCGGATTGTTTTCATAGGATTACAAAATATTATTTTTTTGGTGTTTCTCTTCTTATTTTCATGACACAGCAATTGCTTTCCTGCAAATGGCAATATTCAATCTAAACAGAAAATTATCAGCCCAATACCAAAGTGAAAGTAAATTGCTTCCTCATTTACGTAGAAAAGTTTCAATTACTTTTATGAATGCTTAAATACTTCATTGATAGCTTTTCTCTCATTTCTCGTTCAATTGAGTTCGTTGTCAATGCCAAACTTTTTTCTAAATGCTGTCATTGAACTTGCTTGTAGTACGATAAAAATGAGAAAATTATCAAAATTACATATTTTTATAAACGACAACTGTCATCGTTTTTCATTCTTTTTTTGTCATAGGCAGTTAATATTCATTCAGACAAGTTAGAAAATTGTGTTAATCAAGTTTTTCAGTTTGATATGCAAACTGTATCTTTTGTTTCAATGAAACGTTTGATGTAATTTATATAGCCATAATAGACTGTTGTTTGGATGGTAATCTGCAGAACCTAATGCTGTTATAAATAAAATAAGTTTTTACCATGTGAAGCCTTGACTTAACCAATAGGTTGAATTCTATGTCGACTTATGCGGCTACTCGTAGCACTTTAAGGCTATCCTTGATTCAAAAATTGATGAACCACACTATTAGGTATAAAGAAGATGTAACTGAGAACGATTAAAGAAGCTTGAGAAGAAGATGAAGAGAACTAAAATTTGGTGTGGCTTATTCGACTAAAATTGACTCGACTACATACAAAATTGGTCAAATTTACCCTCTAAGATCCGAGATTGACTTTATTACAAACTTTGACTTTAAATTTGTGCAAATTCTTTTTCAACTCAGCTAATACATCGACTTTAGTCATTTTATTGAACTCTCAAATTTTAGAGACAAACTGTACAGTTCTGCATATGTATCAAGCAGAAAGCACCAGCACAAAACAAAGCACAACAGTATAATTGAGATTGTAATAATTTACTGTTATCGGAAAAAATTATATTCACTGTATCTCAATTAAATTACATTATTGTTTGTAGTTAAAGCCTCAGTTAAAATGTCTTTGTCCTTCATTGCTCTCTAGGTCGGTGAACTTTTATCAACATTTTTTCCATAGTCTTTTTTTATAAAGTTTTTTAATTTGCTACACTTACGTAGCTTTTCATATGCTTTTTATATAGACAAGACATGTACTCGGATTGTGGATACATTGATTCAGTTACATAAATACCTTCAACATGACTGAATAGTTTAAGCAAAAAACTTGCACGACATCTGTTGATCCTTTTTAAATATTCACGAAAAAAGGCACAAAAAAATCTTATTTTCAGTCTACTGACAAAATCATTCCAATTGACTTGCTTCTATTGCGAGTATTTAAAAATCAGGTCACTCTCCCATTCCACAAGATGATTATCCTTAAACACAATTCATAACCCATTTTATGATTGCATAAAATGCTAACTATATGCTCATTTTAGTCTTCTTCATAGATATAATAAAAATATTCTCTTCTCCCCTATTATATAAGTTAGAACAATCACCCCAAAACACAAATGCTCGTATGAGAGTATTTTTCATCCTTTTATGACGATAAAATAAAATAATAATAAAAAAGAATGAGGTCAATGGCGAAACGTCGGGAACGAAGGGAATTTCTTTTTTCTTTCTATTCTGAACTATTTTCGTGATTTCGCATTTACTATTCTCATACAATAACACGATAAATTCGAAATACATGACAAAAACTCATAAATTTTCTTTGCTGTTTGCATACAGCTACATCTGCTAATGACGACAATATATATTCGATATTTTATATTTTCGAATAAAGAACTATGATGTTTTTATTAAAAAGCGAGCATAGGATGGCATAAATGATATAAAAGCGAATATCGAAAAGTAAATAAAGAGAAGAGATTCTTGCATGTTGTATCAGCGGGAATTAAAGGATATTAAGAGGAGCTGATAGTTTAATTTTGAATTTTTATGGGACTCTTTTTTATTTATGACATATTTCAATGGGGTAGTTTGGATAGAAAGGCGACGTTGAGCTTGCTTTTATTTTTTATTTGATGGAATGTTTGTGAATTTTTTGCTTAACGGTATCTTATTTGCAGACAGTTTGTGAAAAATTAGGTTGCTGAACAAGGAACATCGAATAGGACTCGATTTCAAGGTTTACATAAAACATTGCATATACATACATACATACATACATTAAGAACTACAAAAACTCTAGCTTAGCTGTAGATTCAATTTAAGATATTTATATGAAGTAAATGGACATGTGTGTTGAGTTCTAGACATGTACTAGAAGATGGTTCTAACCTCCTCGTCATGTATTACTGATTCTTAAAACAACCAAACTTACTTACTAAACATGTGAAATATTCCTGATCATCAATTAAATTCTCAGTTAAAAATTACGTGTGGCTATTCTATCAACAATAAGACTAAGCTGAAATGATATATGCCCGAGCGGCACAAAGGCTCCATTTGCCTTCCATATGGAAGCTATACGGAGCCTCCATGTTCCACCCTCCATTTTAAAATCATCCGAAAACCTTACTATCTTGGAACCTTGACGGAGCCAAAGCTCCGAAAATCTTCCGTGGGACGTGCATTTATTAACACCAAATGGAAGTCATACGGAGATTTTGATGGAAGATGGAGGATCCATTTGTGGTAGTCAAACGGAGGTTTAATGGAAGTTTTTTTCAAAGGATTTTTGGTACGATTTTCCACGTGTTTTTCTATGTTTCGCAATTTTTATATCAAGATTTGTAGCTGTATTAGTGGACTTAATTAAAGTACACTAACACCATTGAAAAATTTACAACTTAATTTAATTAAGTCGCAACCACAGCAATTTCTAAGTCTCGATCACACGCGTGAGAAACATAAGAAATTATTAAAAAATTTCATACAAATTAAACGACCCCATATAATAGTGATTTCTGCAAGCACTTGTGAAGTATGTAATTTCATACAAAATCACAAAAATTATCCTTTTTTGCTTTTTTAAAGCTTAAAATGAAGCAATATGATTCGGTAAAGCTTTTCGACAATATTTCAATCCATTACAGGAAGATCTGACTTTTGTCTTTTAAAAATTCAAAAGCACGAGTTTTTCGGTATTTGATTTAAGAAAAAGCGGATTTCATATGGAATCCAAATGGAATCAATATGAAGGATGAAAAAATAACCCTCCATTTACTTTCCACATAGTGGAGGTGGCTTTCATATGGATTCCATATGGAGACCACCCTCCACCTTGTGCCGCTCGGGATGTTAATCTTGCTGCTTCATTTTTTCAAAAAAAAAAAATCGCTTCCCACAATTTTGTACACAGCAAGAAAAGTTTCCCCAAGAATCATTTCAAATCACAAACATCGTTAAGTGACAACTTTGAAAAGAACAAAACTTTTATTCATTCCCATTCATATCATGTTCCAGTATGATTGATGAGGCGAGAAAGCTCTTCCTTTTTATCAAATCGAATGGGAATGCATACATGGAAGTATGATTGTTATAATAAAAGTATCATTTTCATCCCTTCCTTGCTTTTCACTGCACATCTACCCTAAATAAACAAATAAACTTTCATTTTCATTTGATATTCGCCCATTTACAAATACATGCAAATATTTACGACTGACTACGTAGAAAGTATGGAATCTTATGGGTGCAAAAATGAGAATCCAGCGACAAAAAAAAAATAAAATACAGAAAGTGAAAAAATATGTTCATAAATAATATCAAATTACAGATATCAATATTTACCTCAAACTACAAACAAAGTAATAACAACAAAGGAAGGACTTTAAACCAAAATAAAGCTATAACAAAATAAAATTTATAGTAAAAAGAAAAGAAATCAAAGACAGCAATGGAAAATAAGAAGCCGAGTGATTTTTTATAAAAGACAAATTCAAGTTGACGATAAGATTAGTGTTTTGTATAGGACGTGCAAGGAGAATGTTTCTGCCAGTTAAACCAAGCACGTAAGTGACGCATTCATTCATTAATTTATTGCATGATAGTTGATAAAAAAAAAACGAGTTTATAGAATGAAAAACTTCATGATTGAGTTCAAAAACTAGTCACAAATGGAAACGACAGTTGTCAAGTGTTAAATGTTGCCATTATGATAAAGAGAGAGTTTACAAGCTATTCATTGAAATTGAACTTAATTTCCTTTCAATCAACACCAACATTACCATGATAGAATGTAATCAAGCAAAGTGTTTGAAGATTAGTTTAACAGGAATTTCCTGAAAATATTTAGATGGTAGAAAGTTTTGCATTAAGGTTGATATTTTAGGAAACAGTATTGTCTAGTCAGTTTTGATTAACATTAGCATAGAGATTTAAAGTTTATTCAGACTGAATTAGAGATTTTTACTTAATTTTGAACCAAAAATCATAAAAAGTCTTCACATTCTGATGTAATTTACATAATTCTCGACTTCCTTCATACTCTAAACCAGTGTTGACCAAACTTTTTTGAGCAACGGCACACTTTAGGGGTGAGCCTTGACCAAAGTCGCACAGAGCATGCGTCATTTAAAAAAAATTCTACAGCACACCAGTGTGCCGCGGCACACAGTTTGGACAGCACTGCACTGTTTCTGAAATTCTTTTATTGTCTTTTATAAAGTTCAAGAAAATCAATCAATTCCAATGATTAAACCTTAGTATTTCAAAACATCGCATGACTTAAACTTTAGACTAGCTGCATTTTATTCACTTTAAAACTTTAAATCATAACGACACAAAATTTAGCTCACCGGTTGTAGAAGATGGCGAAAAAATACAGCACAACTCAACGCAAACACCAAGTGATCTGAGTCCACCTGCAACTACAGACGATTTTCTGCCGCAAGCCCATCATCAAAATCCGGGACATTGCATAGCATCATTTAGTTTAATAAATCGCATGCGAAATCATTCACAGTTGTGTGATGTTAAACTAGAAGTTGGCGGAGAAATTATAAATGCCCATAAGGTTATTTTAGCAGCCTCATCGCCATACTTTTATGCAATGTTTAATGGTAATTATTTATAGTCTAGTGATTTTTTGAAAAGGGGTGAAAATGTTGTCGATTTTAAATACAATTTTGAATGCAAACGTGTTGTCATTGAATTCGATTTCAGACTAGATATATGACTTTATTTTGTCAAAACTAGACAACACTATATTAAGACTTTCTCTGTAAGTGAAAAATTCAAAATTTGCTTTTGATAACTTATTCATATTTAAACGAAACCAAGACATAATCTCAAATGGTCAGTAAACTAAACTGTTTGCCTAGTTTAGAGGTCTTGTCTTGTTTAAGTTAAATTCTATTGGCTTAAGCTAGTTCTTAAAATTCCTATGAATTTTGAAAAATCTGAAATACTTTCCCCTCTTTGAATTTCACTCATATCAATATTTTATCTCACTGCTCAAAAAATTTATTTTTCCCATTTATCTATCATGATTCATGAATAAAATCGGTACATAGATGATATGTTAGAGCGAAACAAGGATATTGTAGAATTACATGATATTGAAGCGCAATCATTGAAGCAATTAATTGATTTTGCATACACTGGTGAAATTGACATAACAGAGGAAAATGTACAAGTGCTTCTTCCCGCATCCAGTCTATTACAAATTCAATCTGTACGTGAAGCATGCTGCAAATTTCTATTGAGACAATTACATCCGAGCAATTGTTTGGGCATACGGAGTTTTGCAGGTAATTTACTTAAAAACTTACAAATAATATTCATTGAAGCGTTTTGTTTGATTTGTTTTAATTGAACGAAATCAGTTGAACTTCTGGTTGAATAGATGTGAATGAAGTTATGGCTGTCTTAAGCTGATGTTGAAACAATTCATTCATTCAGATGAATTAGTCTGCAAACATTGATTGGGAAATTGAAAAGTAAATCAACTTAATTGTATGAGATTCATATTTTCACATTTCTAAAGAGTCAATAGAAAGTTTTAATTGATGCTTATGAATTCGAAGTAAGATTTTCATATTGTAGGGATGATTAAATTTCACACTTATTAAATATAAACCTACCAGAAATTTACTAGTAATTTCCTACCAATTAAGGTGATTTCTGCGCGCTCTTGTGAAGTATATGGCAAATGCCAAGTTTAGAACAAAATTTTTTATGATGCAAAAAATTCTTTTTTTGATTATTTTTCGTAGGATTCGAACTTAACAAGATTTGATCAAACATTTTACATGGTAATTTGCTAGTAATTTGCTATTAAATAGTAAGTGTAATTTACTAACAGTACGTTGTTTTAATAATAACTAGTAAATTGCAAGTAGGAGAATAGAAAGACTAGCAATTTGCCAGTTAGTCTCGCTAGGATATGACCAATTTGAGTAGGTGTTTTGTTCCAGAAAAATCTTATTCAAATCGAGGACCCATAGTATATTGTTCGTCTCTAAAAGTAGCTTTTGAATAATAAACTTAATATTCTATTGGCAAATTAAATAGTTTGCAAAACGAATGTCAGCACTGACGATTTTCAATAACCAATTCCAAGATGATATTTGATGCCTCTGGCAGCATTTTAAAACTGTAATACTGATGATAAATGACTAGATTTTAAAATTAGATTCAAAAAGATTGGACATAAAACTTTTTGCTTTTAAATATGTTCGCTGATTACTAAATATATTGAAATGTTTCCTTACTGTAAAGAATCACTTCATATTTCCCCCCAGAACAACAACAATTCATGTACAATATTTATAAAATTGTCCAATAACTTTCAATTTACTCCTTGTGCTCCCTCAATTTAAAAATTTTTGCTCATTAAATTTAATAGCAAGTGAGCAGGAAAATGATTTCAAGTTGTTCGTACAACTTTCTTTTTTTATTGCCAATTTCACAATAATTTTCTATTAAGCAACTTATATTAATTGAGCCACTTGTTGGTGCAAACAAAATTTTACCAATTCGGCTGTCTCTAATACATAAAAGAATTTAATTTCATATTTTCACCCTCACTGCGTACGAGCAAAAAAAAAGACAATTGTAATAATTTTCTGACACAACTCGAGCGGAATGAATATAAGCAGTAGATCCATAGATGAAGTTTATTAAGTAAACAAGCAATTTAACTTGATGAAGAGAACTTTTTGTAAAAAAGTTTATTTTTTGCTTGCAATTAATTGTGCCTTACCAAAAGTTGCCACTCAATAATTTTAATAGTTTATTTAATTGACGAAAAATTCATAGCTGATGATAATTTTTTTGTGTGCTATTAGTTGTGGGGTTTGGTTTTAGTTCCATTGTTTAATACAGCATTTGAATGAACAAATGAAATTTTGCAGTAAACTTTTTTGTTTGTCTCTGTTGCAAAATTAATTTTCATGTTTCATTGAACTCTGTAGAGAAGCTATTTTAAACGGAAAATAACTGTTTATTCAGTTTGTTGGCAGTATAGTAGCAGTTAAGTGCCTTGCTGGTCAAATAGGTTCAAATTTGGGATGGTAACTCGAAGGTCGTCGGTTCGAATCCAGCCATTTCCAAATTTGTTCTTTTTCGGAAGTTTAGATACTTCGACTGTTTAATGTACGAGATCAAGCCATAATTGGACATTTGGGCAACGTTGGATTAAGGAACGGGTCAGGAACTTGAAGTGTAGCGGGAGAAATAGAACGGATCTGAAAAGTATCACGTCACGCCTACAGAAGATCGAAACGAGAGCCTTGGTTTATTTGAAACCTAGATACGAAGATTAGAAGTTTGATCCTACATAATACTAATTCATATGTATACAAATACAAAAGTGTAAAATGTGAATTATTAGTGAAAAATCACTATTAGGTAGGGTGACCATCTGCGTAGTTTTACAACGGACAGTCCTGTATTTCAAAACCCAGTCCTGTATAAATTTGAAAATTTTGTTCGAGGTCCTGTATTTTTTTCACAAAAATTTCCGTTAATTTTCAAATTTTCCTTTGTGTCCTGTATTTTTTGGGAAATTTATCAAATGTCCTGTATTTTCATAAAAAGTAGATGGTCACCCTACTATTAGGTGCAAATTTAGGATTTAATAATCAATCTCGAGGTTTTCGCTGTCTAATCAAAAATAGAAGTCGTAAATGGAGTTAAAGATTGAATTCTCGCTTCTGCTTCGACTGCCAGAGCCTCTGATAGTACAATTAATAGAAAAGCTTTAACAAAATCCTCATAATTTTATCAAAATTAATATCCAGCTGAAAACCAATTTCAATTCCATTAATGAAAACTCACTGTCCTGCCATAAAATGCGTCAAAAGCACTCTCGCTTATGAATAGACTTCTACAATGTTGCATCTATTCATTCATTTGTAAAACTGAATTTCATCTCGTGGGAAATTCCATTCCGAAACCACAGCAAAAAAATTTTATTTGTCAACTATTTTCATCTGGTTTGTAAATTCTTTACCCAAATGTACTTAATATTCACAGGTGAAAATTTTTGGAATATAGTAATATTTTTTATTCATTTATACATATTTTGTGCTTGCGTATTTTAAACTTTGTCCTTTAAAATTGTTTTGTGAGGACAGAAATGCATCACATCAACAGTAACCAGCATAGTGCTACCTTCCATTTTAAAAGTTTTAAATAACAATGGGGAGTTTATGTACAGTCGACAGATTACAGATTACTGCTGTAGTTTAAACATATTTCATGTCTATCCTCTACCCTGATAATTTGCCAAAAAAAAATATTTTCACTCCGTCAACAAATGGAAACAAATTTGTGTAACGCGAGCGTTGACATTTTGTAGAAAATAAACTTTTTTCATTCTGTCTAGGCAAAGTTCTAGGCTGAATGTAAATCACGAAATAAGGACGTCTTCTTCTTTCAGTCTCGCTTTTAATAGAGACCTAACAGAATGAAAAGGAATTATTAAAGTCATATTATATCAACGACACACAGCACACCTTTCATTAATTTTTCACCAAACCATATTTTTCATATCTTCTTATTGCGCTCTTTTATTCATTCATTCATTCATTCATACGCTTATTCATTCGTTGTGCAATTATAAAGCATGTTTATGGCGAAAATAAAAATCGTCTACTTGAGACGTCTGACAGCTTGTCTAGTGCAATTCAGACACGCTTTTTAAATAAATTTTACTTGTAAGTTTGAATGAAACTTTAATAAAAATTCTGATCACATACAGTTATGTAATGTGGATACAGATCATGAATATTTAAAAATTGTATGTTTTGATAGATGAGATGAAAGGATGTGTTGTTGCCAAAGTACATAATAACTCAAAATAAAGTTTCATTGCATGATTAAATTAAAAATAACACTTAATTTAAGGACTTTGGGCAATATTACATGTTTAAGTTTTAAAACTATTGAGGATTCAAATTAAAGATTTTAATTAGTGAATTAAAATTCTGATTAAAATTCTAGTATTTTTTCAATGCAATTTTGAATCTTTTGTTTGACCTATAAAATTTTAATTCACTTTTTTCATAGATTATTTGGAAATATTTGAGCTACTCAAGAATTATAGGATGGTACTTTCGTTTATTTATCATATCTCACCGGTTAACTTGTTAACTAGGTGCCTATGTCGTACTTTTCGTGGCAACCTCACCTGAAAAACGATAGCTTACCCAAGTAACCAAAATGTTCCATGTAATCTTCCTTCGACGTCGATGAATATATATTATTATATGAAAAATATTTGATTTACAAACATGTAACAAAAGTGTTCCATCGAAGTATAACCCGAACCCGCTTAAGTTCAAATCCTACGTAAAATCATCAAAAAAAGAATTCACAATTCCATATACTTCACAAGTGCTCGCAGAAATCACTATTATAAGTTCTCTCTAAATTTATATGGGTCTTACATTTAATTATATATCTTCTTCAGGTTTGTGCGCGAGTCTTGGGCTTTCATCAGTATGCGACTTAATTAAATTAAGTCCTTTTGTTCTTTTTCGTAGTGTTAGTGTACTTTAATTAAGTACACACTAATACTTTTACAATAATTACACAAATAAAAGAAAAATACAAAAGAACACGTGGAATTTAGCACGTGTTTTATCCAAAAAAAAAGTAATCCATTTGTTTTCCATTTGTATTCCTTTGATGTATTACATTGATGTCTTATTGCATTGTCCATTTATCTTCCAATTTCATAGGACATCATCTTCCGATGGATAATACATGGATAATACATATGTATCATCCAGGAAAGATTCTCATGAAATACATTGATCTACCTTTTGGTTACATGGATAATATACAATTTTTATTTGAATTACAACTACAATAATTAAGCTCAATTTTAAAAAAATTTCTTGAAATTCTCAAGACTAATTTAAAAATTAAACTTTATTAAGCGAGAAAAGATGTCACTTGGTCACAGACACATCCTCAAGTAATAGAAGAATCTTATTCAACTTATATTTAAAATTTTGACAAATCTCTTTTTTGAAATTTTATTAATTCATTTTAAACCAATTTAAGCAATGAAATATTATTTATAAACATGATTAAGTACTTCAAAGGCCATTAGAATCGCACTATGATAGAATCCTTTGACAATTCGATTTTAATTAAGCACTTTTTGTCTCTATCATCTTAATGCTTTTTTAATTAATTTAACTTGAATTTGATTGTTTAATCCAATTCTTTTGTACAATTACGATTGCAGCATCTGATGTAAAATGAATAAGAAATTATATTTGTAGATTTAAATATTTCTCTGTCAATATAAGTCCTTCTCAACAAAATAACCAAAAAATGTCGTGACTATAGGTAGTAACAAGAGACGTGAATTGTATTTTCATATAAAGTTATAAAAGCTATTATTCATAATCCTTAACACAATCTTTCAAGTCACGCAAGCAGGTGATAAAAGTTTTAACCATTTCCATACAGGATGCAAATTTGCAAGCATTCAAGTTAGATTTTAATAAGCATTGTTAAAAGTTTCCTTTCCGCAAACTTCTACATGTCGGAAATTATATCCCTTGTTCTCAGCCACAGACCAAAAAGAAGCCGAATTTTTAATCCAAAACTATTTTTTTGTTTCATGCAGAGGCGATAAAAAAAAGAAGAAAATGTAAAAGAATTAAAAAGGCACGATTTACCATTTCCCATTTTAACATTAATGAAATAATTTTCATATCATATCGTAAAACATGTGTTTCTCGTGCTCTTACATAAACTCTTGCTCATAAATTATTTCTATCCATTCAAGAATGTGATGGTAACTAATCGAAACCAGCGCGAAAATTTAATGTACTTTGTGGCTTATGTGGTATTTTGTTTTATTATGCGATAGCTCTAACAGGGAAAATTAATTAACTGTCATTTGTGTGTACGCTTGTTGAAAATTTTTGTTCTTTTTTTGTTCATTCAATCTAAAATCTAAATCATTATACATAGATATTTAATTAAGCTTGTAATACCTAAATCAGATCATTATCCGAAAATCCAATAACCGCATCGAACATAACTTTATTCAGTGTATTATTGAATTTTATGGATAGATTATTTTGCAGGTATATAAACTCATATATTGTATGAATATTTAATTAAATTAAAGCAATGCTGTCGCATCATCGTTTTGTACCAAAAAAAAGTAATAATAAACTTTTTTATTTCCCTCATAAACGTGCGTTGAGTACACAATACGTGGATATAATGATGATGACGATAAGATTAGAAAGACAAAGAAGAGTTGAACTGATTTATTTTTATTATCGAAGGGCAATTTGTTCCAAATGATTAAACATCTCCACCCACACTCTTCTATTTTTTTTTGTGGATATTGTGATTGATTCTCCATGTTTTCACTCTTTTTTTGGTCTTCATTTTATGATTGCATGATGATGACCACAAACAACACACAGATTTATATTCAACAGGTTTATGCTCATAAAGACAATACAAACGAAAAAGAGATATAAAAACAGCTAGCAACAAGCCATCACGAAAATTCAATTAGTGAAAAAAAAAATCTGTGGTCGTTAACTTGGGGAGAATCTAGCGTATGATGGCTTTTAGATTGATGATATTAAACGCACTTTTTGTAGCTGTGATAAGGTTCATTAAGTTATCTTTGGAATAGTGTGGTATTAATTATTTTATACGTGTGTAGTTTGTGTTATATTATTTCTGGTCTTCATTGTTGGCTACAAGGAACCGTGTCAAAGACAAGTCAAAGGTTAAATTCCAAAAATACAAAAATTGTTTGATCATAATCTTGATTAATTTTTGAAATAGGATTTAAATCCACAATCTTATGTCTGCTATTTATCATAGTTCATAAAACTTTAAGATGCTAGCTTCTAATTCTAAAAGCAGCTAAAAGAGTGATGGTCAAAAATATAAATTTGACTTCATTTTTGAATGCAGGTTAACGCTAAAGTTCAAAAATAATAAAATTTAAAATCCACGTTTAAGTTTTAACTAATCCGAACCAGAAAATGATTCAGCATAAATCACCAAAATCTTTTATGAACACTTAGAACTAAATAAAATTTATTGAAATAGAAAAAGTCATTTATGTCATGCCTTATACGTGACAATTGCTAATAAATTATTTCATGTAATAATTTATGCTATGCGTAGGATCAAGCAAATAACCTTAGACAAAATAAGCACAAAATACAATATTATTGCGAAAAAATCAACAAAATTTCATTTTCTGCTCTTTTGTATCTATTCTCGTGCTCGTCCTTCTCAATCTCATGTTTTGTATACATTTAAAAATAAATCTGATGCTTCATTTATTCCCGCTGTGCTGTAAAGCGATAATGATTTACTTTTCCATTTCTGAATGACAATCCCTAATCATTAGTCAAGATAAAAAATAAATTTTATGGTTTTGATGTCAAAATGGATAGAAGGGGCTGAAAAAGTTGGAGATTTACGAGAATGTTCTGTGAATATTAATTTTCTATGTCCTACTTTTTTTTCCTTTTTTTGTACAACAGGCATTCATTCATGCAAGGAATTACACACAAGATCACACCGATTTGCATTGCAAAACTTCCAACAAGTCATTTCAACAGAAGAGTTTTTACTCTTGGGATTTAATGAGGTAATTAATTCTTGATTGTGCAAATAAAATGCCATTTTCCTTAAGTGAGTAAATATTTTCTTTCCTCCGTCTTCCTCACTCAATTAATTAAAAAAATATAAATAAAATTTTTTTTCTCCCTCTCAAGTCAGTCGTAATGCCATTAAACATCAATGGTCGTTTGCTTGCTTCCTCCAATTAAATGGAGTATCTTTTTCAGTTGTGAGGAGGTCGGTCCTATTTTGTGAAATTTGAAACAAACTTCAGTTTTATGGCTAGTAACGCTAGCTAGCTACTATCTCTAGTAACAGCTTTATAACAGCAAGTAAGCGACTGAGCTTAAAGGATTGCTATGTAAAACATACTGCTATCATTTGTTCAGGACCGACTTTTATATTAAAGCCTAGTTAAGTTTTACATAACATATTAAAAGGCTTCACCCCCTCATAACTCATTCAGATTGTCTCTTTATCCGAGGCAGTTTACTAAATTTTTTTACTCTTTATTTTCTTAACTGTCGCTTTTTTCATAAATTATTTACTTTAGCTTTCCTATCTTGCCTTTAGCTGGAAATTAAGATGAAGAAAAAGAATTGAAGATTTATGAGTTCAATAATATCATTCAATAGATGTAGCACAACGTAGAAGTTTTACCCTTTTTTAAAGACAGTTTAGTTATAGAATGTATGGAAAATTTATAGAATAGCTTAATAGCCATTTTTTAATGCTTTGATAATAGCTCAAATGAAAATAATGTGTATGTACAGCAATATAACCTCGCCATAATTTTCATCATTTTCTCCATCAGGTACAAGATTTGATATCAAATTCACAGCTAAATATTTCGAGTGAGGAGCGAGTTTTTTCAGCAGTATTAAATTGGATAAAGCATGACCTGGCAGAGCGTAAAAAGAATATTGCAGAGCTCATTTCTAATGTACGCTTGCCACTTTTGAACCGTGAATTTTTAATGGAAAATGTTGAAACAGAGCCACTCGTCAGAGAAGATCCACAATGTAAAGAGCTTCTCCTTGAAGCAATGGTATGAAAGTTGAATGCTCTTTTACACATGCTATCTATTTATCATATATCCATATATCTCATTTTCTACTATTAGAAATATCACTTGTTGCCAGAACAGAGAAGTATACTCGTCTCACAGCGTACTCTCGAGAGAAAACCGGAAGGGATGAAGCCATACATCTTTGCTGTGGGCGGTGGCAGTCTTTTTGCTATTCATAATGAATGTGAAGTCTATAATCCCAAGACAAATCAATGGGCACAAATTTCACCGATGATATCTAGACGCTCTAGGGCTGGCGTTGCTGCTTTGACAAAAATGTTGTATGTCTGTGGTGGATATGATGGTATGGTCTCTTATGGATTTATCTAAGAACAATTGTAATTACTTCTTTCATATCCACTTAGGTGAAAATGATCTCTCGACTGCTGAATGCTATAATCCACTCATTAATGAATGGAAACAAATAACACCAATGGGAACAAAAAGGAGCTGGTGAGTCAAACAATTTGATTGCTAATGTTGCGATTCAAATTTTATATTCAATTTTAATTAACTTTTTCACTCATTCGCCTTTTAGCCTTGGCGTTTGTGCTTTTGATAATTTACTTTACGCTTGCGGAGGTAAGATAATATCCTTTGAGTTTTAAAATTATGCAAAAATATTCTGACAATTTTATCATTATTCATATCATGCAGGATACGATGGAGCCAGTTGCCTTTCATCAGGTGAGTTATTTTCTCTCATCATTCTGAATTTAAATTCAAACTGAGAATATTTAATTTTTTTATATTTTTATCTCGTAACAAAAAAAGTTGAACGTTATGATCCGCTAACTGGAGTTTGGAGCTCATGCCCAGCTATGAGTACAAGACGCCGATATTGTCGAGTTGCTGTTTTAGGAAATTGCATTTATGCACTTGGTGGCTTTGATTCATCAAATTATCAATCGTCTGTTGAACGATTTGATCCTAGAATTGGAAATTGGATGGTTATGCCTCCGATGACGTCAAGGTAGGGTTAACATAATTTTATAATTTGTGATTTAATGAAATTTTTCATACTCATGGCAGACGATCATCATGTGGTGTTGCTGCCCAAGAATATCTTTATTGCATTGGTGGATCAGATGGAACTATGTGTATGAGTTCAGGTGAAAGATTTAATTTGAGAACAAACTCATGGGAGCCAATCAGTTCTATGAATTCAAGACGCTCTACCCATGAAGTCGTTGAAGCTGGCATGTTCCTGTATGCACTTGGTAAGCTTTTCAATTCCAACAGAATAAAACTCAATTAATATTACTGTCAAATGTATTCACTGTAACATGATAGGTGGAAACGATGGAAGTAGTTCATTGAATTCAGTTGAACGATATGACATAGCACTCAACAAATGGACAATTGTAACAAGCATGTTTACGAGACGTAGCAGTATCGGTGCAGCTGTCTTAGAATGCTTCAATTTGGAACGTGGCTTATTGCAAACATCCATTTGACCAACACTTTTATCGTCATTATCACTCGACAAAGAATGTGCTTCGTCTGGATGCAACAATGCTTAGTAATTTCATCCATTCTAGTGATAATGAAGTCGCTACATTTGCAGAGTAGTATTTCTTTTTTTAAAAAATTCATAAATGTCGAGGGAATATTCTCAACAAACAAAAACTAAGAAAGTAAGGAAATTGAAAATGAAAATTCCATTTTCACGCTGAACAAAAAGGGATAAAAAAAAATGCAGAAATGGAATTCTTTACGTGAAAATATTTATTTTTTTTTTGTTCCAAATGAAAAAGTTTTAAATTAAATGTTATTAGAGAGGGGAAATATAAGAAGAAATTTGTGTGTGCTTGTGTGTCTGTTCTTACCATCAGTAGAAGTTGATTAGATTTTTACATTATTGGCTGCATTTTAAGCTTCTCGCTAGGCAAAAGATACAAATTTGTAGAAGGAAAAGTTTTTCTTTTCTATTAATTTTGCTACATCCCTCTTCACACTTTACACTTGCTATTGATCAGTAATGTCCAAACTTTTTTTACGAGGGTCTCATTAAGGATATAAGTGAAGAGTTTAATAAAGAGAGCAGCTCCTAATTGGATGTTTAAATGATCATTGACATGTTGAACGCATAAACCTATAAAATCTCAATATTTTCATCCAAGAATTCATTAACAATACCGAAACCCAAATCGTAGCAAAAAGTTTCGACAAATCTGCAATTGGCTCAATCTCTTAGCTCTAACACTGAGCTAGAAGATTATAGTAATTTTCAACATCTTTATTGTTTTAATTTTAAGCTTTTCCTTCCCCAAAAAAAAGCACACATTGTAAGACATAAGATGTTTTAAAAGTCGAAAGAAAATTTCCTTTCAATTTTTCATTTAAAAAACTTTCTCGCAATAAATTTCCATTACATTGCATGTGTACATAAAAACTACAGCATAAAATGATTAAAACAAATGAGCTTTTAATATAAAAGTAGAAAGTGAGTGAGAAAGATATTTTTTTTTAACTTTTGTGCTTTGTCAGGAACGAATGATTTTCTTTTCTGCTTTTTATGCGATAAAATAAAACTTATAAAAGCTAAAATAGCTCATGATACAAGGATAAAGTTTCTCCTTTTATAGATTTCCAGTGGGGAAAAATGTTTTAATTGAAAATTATTTTGATAAGGGAATTATTTTTGTCTTTTGTGGATGTTTTAAGCGATACACTATCTTTGCTTGAGGATATAGTTTTTTATTTTATTTGCTGCAGTCTCAAAGATAATTTTTATAAGTTATGCTGTGGCATTAAAATATATCACGTATACATTTATAGCACCACAAATATTTTTCATTCCTGGTTCTTTAGGTGAATATCATGATGGTTGAACAAAATGCCTGTTTGTGGTATAAACCAAATATTAATGAGGATTCGATCTCTCCTTGCTTTGTGGTAAAGTTCAGTAAGTTACATTTTGATGCTTAAATTGTAGTTCTATTTATCACTTTATTAAATCAGTTAAATACTGTTAATCAGAAGCTTAGCAAAGAGAACTCTTCATATTTTGAGACCATTATTTGAAAATTTGTAGCTATATTTCTGTTGTTTGCATTTTTTGTAGTTCTATTATGTTAGATTTATTAAGTCATATAAGTTTTTCACAAAGCCCCAAAATTTAAATTAAATTATTTTAAGTGAATCTTGATTGAAGCTTTATTAACTAAGGTTTTAAAAACTAATTAAGGCTATTAGAGATATAATTTAAAATTATTTATTAAAAACTTATTGAATATTTCGGTTATTATGGCACCTTAAAAATGCTAGTTTGATTATTCTACGTTATTTTGGTTAAATTTATTTTGTTGAGTCATAAAATCTAAAATTTTTGTTATAAAAATTAATTCTTTTGATCTTAAAACTGTTTAATGAACTCTAATTCACAAAAGTTAAACTGTTTATCCAAAAATCTCAATTTTTTAATTTTATGATATATTTCAAGATTTGACTATTGCCACAAACCTAACCAAAACATAAATTCAAAAATTATCAATTTAATCAATAAATTATAAGGAACATGCTTGCGCTCGCTTTTACAATTCGTTTTGCTCCAATTTTTCATTTATGTCTAAGGTTATTTAAAGTTAAAAGCAGAACAAATACAAAAAAAAAATACAAAAGTTAAAGTAAAAAGTAACAGAAAGAATGCTGTAAATTAATTTTAAGACTGTGATAGAGATTTCTTCTATTCGAGAGTGACCCGGTGTGCAGGTGAAAAGAAAATTTACGAGACAAAGAATTATGTACCTTGCAGTTTCTTACTGAAATTCATTTAGTTTACACACACATCATCTGATTTGGCAACATTTACTTCTTCAAATGGGTTTTTGGTCAGGGATGTAAATCTGAAGTTTGATATCAATTTATTACAGACGTAGCTTGGTCACAGACACAATCTTAGGCTCAGATATTTAATCATGCCTGAGGCATAAGAAATTCTTTTTCATAAACTCGTGAAAATTGATGGATTGTGATGACTCTGTAGCAGTTACATCCAAGCTAGCTATAAATCTGTCAAAGCAATTGTTATAGGTTTAAGAAAGAATCCATCTGTGTCTGAAAAATTTAACAAATTACAATCATATCACAGATATCAACCCTGATTTTCAATTTTTAAAAATACCTTACAATTGTCATTATGTTTTCCTACATTTAACTCTATTGAGTTCATCAATAAATCACTCGACAAAACTGATTAAGTTTTCGCCACATTAATTTTTAATGATGGAAAATTTATCACTGATAAAAAATGGATGTTTGTAAGAATCGGTAACATGAAACTTTTGGCAACTATTAACTTACATTTTTTTTTAAAAAAAAGAAATAAGGAACGAATGGCATAGCAATGAGATAAAACAAGTATTCAGGTTAATTAAAGGATTCAATCAAGCAAATAAAAAATAGAAAAAAAAACAAATTTTACAATTTTTGCATTTAAAAATTAAATTATAATAATCACCGTTAGATATGACATAAAAAATTTCCACTGCCAGAAGCGTTTGAAAATCATAAAACATAAAGTATTAAAAAAAATTATCAGCATAGATATTCCAAAAATAAGAAAACATTAATTAATAAATTCCATAAACTTTACTCGCTTTTCATAAAACATAAAATGAAAACAATTTTATCATTTTAAAATCATTTGCATAGAGTTTTTAATACAAAAATAAAAAATAGAAAACGATTGAAATACAAAATTGATGTTAAAAAATTTAATTGATGGTATATTGGAGATATATCATAATAGAAAATATGAAGTGAATAAAAAAAATAAAAAAAATCTGCATAAATGTGATAAATTTTTAATTACTTTTTCTTCTCTTTTATAAATTACAGTTATTACTGCTGTTGGAACTTTATATTTCATTATTAAGCAAGGCAAGTACACTGAATGAAATTTTTGAAAAAATACAAACATGTAAATCAGCTAAGGGGCCGTTCACTTATTACGTTACGCAAAAAACAACCTTTTTCACCCCCCCCCCCCCTTGATACAATATGATACAACTCACACCCCCCCCCCCCCCTGAACGTTCATAATTTATTTTATCATTAAAAAGGTGGAAAATTTGGAAGTTGTAAACAATTTCTTTTGTGAACTTTTTTTAAAAGACAGACAACAGTTAGAATGTTACATACTTCTTGATACCCCCCCCCCCCCTATGTTACATTTTGTTACAATTTTTCAACCCCCTCCCCCCTCCCCCCTAAAATGTGAACGTAATATGTGAACGGCCCCTAATTATGTTGTTTAAAATTGCAATCATGTTATTGTCGATTCTCGGTGGTATAAAGCTTTACATGCTGATCACATAAATGAAAAGCAATCTCATGTTTTTTAAATACTTTTTATATCCAGTTTCACAAAACTTTGTGAAGAGCTTTTTTTTGGATTATCTGATAACTTAAAACAATCCTCTTAAAATTTAGACTTATGAGCGTGAATGTGAAATGATTTTTCAATATTTAAACGTGTTTTTTCAAAAGTCTTCAAACATGCATTGTACTATTTCACTTCCTACCCGTGTGACGTCATTTTTGAACATTCACAAATATACACCGATTAATTATACCTTAGTTTTTACCAAAAATATCCAGAGAGTAATTGCCTTGCTTTTAATAAAATACTTTTACAAATTATCCCTTATCCATCTCAAGTGATTTGAAGTTCTGATGAAAACAGATGGATATGTACCACAAGGACGAATAGTCCACGAAGCAACTCCAACGACTGTATTACGAACAACAAGTGGTCCACCTCTGTGAAAACAAATTAATATTAAAGCTTTAAAGAATTTTCAGAACCATATTCAGGAATTTTGAACGTCATTAGTAAATTGGTCACAAAAAAATGCAGTTAATTTCAGAAATTACTCAAGTTTTACGACTTAATTATACATATCATGATTAATACTTACGAATCGCCAGCACAAATTCCAGAATTTTGTTGATTATTCTGAATTCCAACAGTACAAATTTTCTCGCTCGTTATCCATCCTCTTGCCATTGTATTTTGATGAAGTGATGCACAAACATTATTTGAAATTGTTGACATTTCGAGAGTTTGTAAGCTCTGGGCTAAATCACTGTTGTCATCGGTGCCAGTTAATCCCCAACCTTATTTTTTCGTGTGTAATTAATCATTTCATGACACATTCCATTAAAAAAAATAGAGGAAGTATGCTTACCTGTTATTGTAACCCTTTCATTTGCACTAACTGGAAAGCTGCTGCCGAGCGAAATTGGTCGAACGCGTGTTGTAAATGCGATTGGAAAAAGGGTCCGAATGACTGCAATATCCGCAACAATAGCTGTGTGGATTCCCCTATAGTCAGGATGCATAAAAGTGTGAGAAACTCGTAGAAGTGATCCATCTTGTCCATTAAGACGACCTCCGCCTACACTTACTGTAATGTCTTGCGGATGTGATAATATACAATGTGCTGCCTAAATTATTTTAGAACTGATTAATTACTCAATTAATTAGATTTAGTCATGTTTCCTTACAGTTAATATACTCCGAAAATTAATGATTGCACCACCGCATGTAAAGACAGAATTTGTATAAATCCCAGCCATATACGGATAGGAATGTATTGATGCATCCAATCCATTAATTAGTTGTCGATTCGCTTGTGAAAAAACAGTGCCAAAGACACAAAAAATCAAAATTAGCTGTTTCATCTTTGGTGGTCTACAAAAGACTAGACAAGGTGTCCAAAAATTTATCAAAATTCATTTACACATCAAAACTTTCTTATCATAATTAACTTGATTTATATTTCTGCATTATCGGAATTCTTGTGAAATTTTTTTTAACGCTGTGGAACTGATAAGAACAATAAATTGAGTCGAGCATATCCGGAATGCTGCTGTTGTTTTATGAATGAAAGTTGTATGTGAGTTTGTTTTTGGCTTGTATAACATTGGTACGCAATTTACAGCTCTTCATATTCTAAACTCCAGATAAGTAAAAATGTTGAATTTTTAAAATTTATCAGCTGTTTAAAATTTTAAATTTCAACTTTTGTCCCATACAAACCGAAATCAATTTTCTAGTGAACCATGACGTATTTTGGAAAGTCCCAATTATCAAGGAACTATGAAAATAGTGGTAAAATGTCAATAAACGTATGCCAAAAACAATACACGATTGTGACTAAAAATATCCATGAAAAGAAAACATTTTGCAAAATGTTGGGAACAAGCAAGTGTTTCCTCTAAAATTGTAGCAATACAAGAAATTAAAAGCTTTCTGATAAGATATGAAACAATATGAAACGTGTGTTCTACTTGACAAGGAAACAAGCAATTGTGTTGTCAAGTTGCATCTGTTATTGCTACTGAAGTAAAAAGACATTTTAAGTGCATTTTAAACTTATTTGATGTATTTTGAAGGAACGAGGAAAGTTTTATAAGCATAGCATGAAGAGATGTGTGTACTTATAGACTAAAATTTTTGCATTGATGCATTTACAATATATAATAATTATCAACTTAGTTCCATCGAATTTTTGATGGTGAAATTTTCATTTTTGGATTCCAAGGTTTTTGTACAAAAATTTCACGATGAAAAATTCTTGGATATACTTAAAATTAATTCATAACATTTATATAGTGCACTACTTAATCTACAGACATGTCTGCAATTAGTTTCGACAGTAAATAACGGTAATCTTGGTGGTTATTTTACAACAGAATTACAGAAAAAATTGAATTAAATGAGCTCATTGAAAATTTATGGCCATAAATCCTCATGAAATATTAAAAGTCATTTCTCTTAAAAGACGACACAAAAGGGATTACTTAAATATAATTATGCGAGATATTCCCTGAAGCAACTAAAGCCATTCCAAGGTTTTTAATTAGCATTTCATAAACTCTATCACGACCATTTTTTGACCATAGAACAAGCATTTTACTGAATCCACTGACGTGTCGTGGAATTTCCATATAATATTGTGGAAGAAAATCATCAGTGTTGCCATGTTTAAAGCATTTATTGATGTCTATAGACGGAATTCCGAAAGGATTATTTGTGATGAATTTATTAAATCCATTTAATGTTTCCTTTCGATTTCCAAGTAAAAAGTTTGGAATTACAGCAAGTGTGCACAAAACTGGCTTAATATTTTTCTCAGCACAAGCTTGCATTAATAACGTCATGTCTTGCATCATTTCAATTAATTCCCGACCAGCGGCAATATCAATAGATCCGACATATATAATTGCTGTTTTATGCCGATCATCTTCAATATCCTTGACTTTATACATTGCATCCTTTATTGTCATGCCTGACATGCAAAATCCCGACTGCAACGTTCCTTTAAATTTTGAAGCACTAAAGCCTAACTTGTAAATTGCAATTCCCAAAAAGAAATCGTCACCGATCAGTAAACTGCCATATAAATTTGGTGCACCCTAAGAAATTTTAATTACTTCTGTACTAAATCTTTAACTTTTAGCTTTAATATAATCATACCAAAATTCTTTGTGGACGATGTTCACTCTTGCTTCTGGACTTAATCGGTTTTTCTGGTTGATCTTTAAATCTGACAGATCTTGCTTGACGAGTTTTTATTGGAGTTTTCGGTTCCTCAGTTCCTGGTGCTGAACGAGATCGTTTGACTGTTTGTGATATTAAAGGCGATGATGTCTTCCTTTTGCTTTCTTTTTTGAATGTGGATGTAATTTCAGCTATTGGTTTTTGTATGAAATAATAATCTTGATTGTTCTTTGATGCAGTTCCAACAGAATCTAGCTTGGAGAGCCATTCATGGACTGCGTCATCATCAACATCAGAAAATGGAATGTCTGATGCATGCCTTGCCTTAAATTCGTCTGTAAATTAAGAAATTTTAACAACAATCAAATTACAACCTTTGAACTTTGTTTACTTTTCAATTCTTTAAGTGTCAATGGATTATCGTGTGATTCCAAAATATCCAGCACAAGATTTCGCCTCGATTGATAATAATGAGAATGATTGAATTGCTCCATTATGACTACTATATTTAAAGCCCAATAACAGCACGTATAGATTAAAAACACAATAAAAACAGCTATTATACTATCGCTGCAATAATTTAAAAATGTATTAAGCACGTGTAACACAATGAAAAGTGCTGAAACATCCAGTGAAGAAATCTTATCCATCAAAGATGTCATTTCGAAGCAGTTTTGTGATTATTTAATTATTCACAGAAAATTTATATCTTTATTTGTAAACTTTCGAATCTACTAGACTACCTAGCATTAAGCCTTTCTGCTGCAATTAAGAACTTAAAATTTTTATTTCAAATCCTTGAAAAAACCATAGACATGAGTGACGTTAGTGTTGTTCTATTGCTACTGAATTCAAATTGAATTTTTCCGTTACAATTTGGAATTGCTGGAAACTGTTGAAAAGTTTAATTTTGTTTTGTTTTTTACAAAAAGTCCAAATTTATTTATTTACAAAACAAAAATACAAATTGTACTAACATAAGATGAAATTCTCAAAACAATTTTCCTCGCTGTACTATAAAAATGTCTTCCTTTATGCCCTTTTTGTTCATTTTCATAATTTTTCTTTTACATTATTTAGGTACTACATCATTGGTAATTGGATAGTTCTATTAATTATGTATTTAATACAAAAGAATGTAATTGATTAAATTTCTTGAGAATTTGCTCTTCAAACCAAACAAATAAAATGAATTAAAAAGAAATATCAGAACAGATTAAAATTGTTAAATGTTTAACAGCATGAACTTTTTGCAGGTTCTGCCATTGCTAAATTAAAGTCTAATGAACTTGATCGTGGAAAACCTGTTTTAATTCCATCCCAACCATTCTCGACTTTATATTCACCGCTCTTGATGCGATTGTAAATCTCCTGAGTGACTAAAGCGAAACTTTCTCTGACATTGATTCCAGTCCTCGCTGATGTCTCAACGAAAATCAATCCATGCTGTTCAGAAAATCTTTTGGCTTCTTCAACGCTCACTTCTCGGTTTTCACCATTTGTTACTAAATCTAATTTAGTTCCAACCAATGCAAAAACTGGTTTATAAGGTTCTATATGACGTTTTGCTTCTAATAACCACAATGGAATATGTTCAAAACTAGCATGATTGCAGATATCATAAACCAACAATACGCCAACTAAAATCAATGGAATATATCTTAATTAAATGACTTATGAAAAGTGCAGAGGCAATCATACCTGAATTTCTATAATATGATTTTGTAATAGATCTAAATCGCTCTTGTCCGGCAGTGTCCCACAGCTGAAGCTTGATTCTGGTTCCGTCTTTAACTTCCATCATGTGAGCAAAAAAGTCAACTCCAATTGTTGGATCACTGATCTGTGGATACTTGAATTAATTAATATTTTCTGTTGATTTTTGATTTATAGTCTGCACTGTCCAAGAAGGTATGTGTCTGAATTGCTTGATTATTAGCGTTATTTGGATAAAAATGAATGAACATATCATCCAGGAAGGATGTTAATAAAATAAAACTATGACTTATTAGAAAAGTATTTTAAATTCAGGGATTTCGGAAGTAAATAATACGCCCATAGAAATGCGTCGTACAGTGAAAAATATTAGAATCCTAACAAAGAGAATACTTAATCATAATTAACTTCAATGACAAAAATTACACTTATCGTAGGCGATTTAAAACAAGTATTAAATGTTTGCCTTAATTACACTTGAAACATAAATTTCTTCAAACACTAATCATCATGAGACTGATGCATAGACAGGCAAAGATAAGTCAATCAAATTTGCAGACATTAGCATGCAATGGAAAGTTTTTATGCTGTATTCTCATAATTATGCAGGTATTATTAAAACTTACTTCTGCAAATCGTCCATCGGTGAAATATTTCAAGAGACTAGATTTCCCAACTGTACTGTCTCCAATCAGAATGAGTCGAAATTGATAATCGAACGCTATATCCATGACTATGAATTATTTTTTATGAAGGATTTTTATTTTTGTCCAAAGACTTTTGTTATTGTTTCTTAAAAACTCTTATTTTCTACTTATTTTAATCTATTTCAATACCTCAATTGCACTTTTACACTTTATGAGCATTTACGGACATTATAACTATGTTAATTAATGTGATAGATTACTAGAACACTTATTAATTGAAGTATTTTATGGCTATAAAATTCAAATTTTTTATTTTTCTTTTCGTTTGGTGCCTTCACATTTGTTTTGCAAGGATTTTGACTGTTTTTATTTACCCACAATTTACAGCACTATGCTTTGACTGGCTGGAATAAAGTTATAGTCTAAAACATAATGTCAATAATCTAATATTTTAAATCAATACTTAATATATTTAACAAAATACAGTAAGCACTAAGTGAATCTTGACTGGATCTTCATAACATCCATCATAGCTAAACGTAAACAAAGAAAAGCATTAAATTGCTGCAAGGACGGAACTATTTGCTGAAAGGAGCTTTAAAAGTGAAATAATAGATTTTTTAGATATTTACGGTTAAATACAGTAAAGTGCATTCTGTTCTCCTACTTGCTTTTTGGTTCGTCAAGCAGTAAATTTAAATAATTAATTGAAATGTAAGACGAATCATTAATTAAAGTTGAATTCATGAAAAATAATTTTTTGCGGATGAATCACTTCTTTTATATAAAGATCCAAAATATTATTTTCAAGTTCATCATTAAAAGTCAATTATGCTGTAAATCCAGTTAAAAAAATTGTGGAAACGTTTATATTGTGCAACATAATTAATAATATTACTTTTACAGCAGAAATTGCTGATTATTTGAGGAAAAAATCAATAATTAATCATGGCTGCTGGAACAACTTTGCAAAAAGCAATTGACATCGTAACGAAGGCTACAGAAGAAGATCGAAATAAGAATTATGAAGAAGCATTAAGATTGTATGAGCATGGCGTTGAATATTTTCTACATGCCATCAAGTGTAAGAACATCCTGAATTACATTATACTGAACCTACTATTATTACGTTTCATTCTTATTTTAGACGAAGCACAAGGTGATAAAGCTAAAGAATCAATAAGAGCAAAGTGCTTACAATACCTCGATCGAGCCGAAAAGCTGAAACAATACCTGAAAAAAGGGAATAAAAAGAAGCCTGTCAAGGATGGTGATAGCTCGTCCAAGTGAGATTTATTTTCTTTGTCCAAAGCTTCTTTAGTATTAATTTCAATTCCGTTTGATTTACAGAGATAATAAAGATAAGAAAAGTGACAGTGACTCAGATTCCGATGATCCAGAAAAGAAGAAATTACAGGGCAAATTGGAAGGAGCTATTGTCGTTGAAAAACCTCATGTTAAATGGTCCGATGTTGCTGGTCTAGAAGGAGCAAAAGAAGCACTTAAGGAAGCTGTTATTCTGCCTATTAAATTTCCTCACTTATTTACTGGTAAGAGAGTTCCATGGAAGGGAATTCTATTATTTGGAGTAAGTCTAAATGCTCATTTTATGCATCAATAGTTCGTATTAACTTATAACTTTTGTTATAGCCTCCGGGAACTGGTAAATCATACCTTGCAAAAGCCGTCGCAACAGAAGCAAACAACTCTACCTTCTTCTCAGTATCAAGTGCTGATTTGGTATCAAAATGGCTAGGTGAATCAGAAAAATTGGTCCGAAATCTCTTCGAATTGGCTCGATCACATAAGCCTAGCATTATATTTATTGATGAAGTAGACTCTTTATGTTCATCACGTTCTGAGAACGAAAGTGAAAGTGCCCGACGAATTAAAACGGAATTCTTGGTTCAAATGCAAGGTGTTGGAAATGACAGTGAAGGTATTCTCGTTTTGGGTGCTACGAATATTCCATGGGTTCTTGATTCAGCTATCAGGAGACGTTTTGAAAAACGAATTTATATACCGTTGCCTGAAGAACAAGCTAGAATGGTAATGTTTAAGATTCACTTGGGAAACACAGCACACATCTTAACGGAAGAAAATCTGAAACAATTAGCAAAACAAACAGAAGGATATTCTGGTGCTGATATTTCAATTATCGTCCGTGATGCTCTCATGCAGCCTGTTAGGAAGGTACAGACCGCGACGCATTTTAAGGTAAGCTTTACATGATTTATACTAATTTTGTAGTTTAAAACTTAACGGTTGGGAGAGTTTTGAAACCCGAGTTCAAATTTTGAACTTGTTATTAAGGACATTTTGAATTTCAAATTTAACGGATTTTTTATAAATACTTTTAAAGCACATTCGAGGACCTTCACCGCTCGACAAGAATCAAATTGTAGATGATCTTCTAACGCCATGCTCGCCTGGTGAACGCGGTGCAATAGAAATGACTTGGATGGAAGTTGACGGCGAAAAGCTTTATGAACCTCCAGTAACTATGGTATGAAGTTCGATAAAACATGCTAATCATAAAATATTAATTAAATTAACATTAATTATTATAGGGAGATATGTTGAATTCTCTTGCGAGAACCAAACCAACGGTAAATGAGGATGATATGAAAAAGCTACAGAAATTTACAGATGACTTTGGACAGGAAGGATAAACAAACACCGAAGCTTTATTTATTGAAAAATCAAGAACCTTCTAATTTTATATTTTTATTACTAAAAAGATTTAATATTCTTAAAATTCTTGTGAAAAAAAAAGAGAAAAGATCAAGAAAAAGTACACGTTGCCTAAATTATCAAGGCTGAAACACTCAAGAATAATCCTAAATACAATCCTGGATAGCTCATGAGTGTCTCAATCTTGAATATTATTATGATATTCATTCACATACGAAAGAAAGATATAAATATAAATTGTCTAGCGATGAAATATGCTAATCTGTCAAATTTTTTCTTCCCAAACCGGATTCTTCTCAGCAATTGATTTTATTATTATTTGAAAAAGAAAAGAAAATGTTGCGTTCTTAACACCTGTTAATTCAACTTATGATAATCGGAGGGACAGCAGAACAATATGTATATGATGAGTTTTCGCCTGTTTTATAACAAATTGATTATTCTTTTTTAATTGTTTTCCACTTATCCATTGATGTTGCGTTTCAAATAAAAGAAAAGTATATTTTTAAAAAATTTCATCAGTCTTGATTCGCATTTAAATCTTTTATTTCTTCAAAACTTTCAGTTAAATTTAACGGTTATTTCAAATTTGAGTTTCTGAACAATACAAATTATATCATGAAAACCGTACAAATGCCGTCCCCCAAAAACTCTACAAATGTTATAAAACGTTATAAATGTTTCAGGATCTGACCTCTTTAAAAACTCCACAAATGTGTGCTTCAAAACTTCACAAATGTTTTAAAAATACAATTAAAATGTTTTTTTAAATAAGTAAAATTGCTTTTTATTGCATAAAAAATTCGATGATTAGTCTGGTATATAAAAATACATAATAAAAATTTACAAATTGTGGTGTAATGTTAGTATAAAAAATATCAATAAGGTCCTCATAATATGAGTATTGTTTAATTTATGGACTTTTAATTCACATTTTGCTTTATAATACACATTTTGGTCCATAAAGACGTCAATAATAATAATAATAATAAGAAAATAAGACTAAAGAAAGCTTCATCCTTTAAGTATTACTTAAGTAATAATGACTTATCGATCGTATCGTAATTTAAGGCACAACAAAAATGTCACATGGCAAGGTCACAATAATCGTATTTAAAGTTTGTCTTAAATTGCTTTCATATCCTCTCCGTACTCGAGATCCTCGTCTTCATTGGGCGGCATATCGAGATGATTATTGTTTCCATCACCAATTTTAGATTCAGGACATTCACTACAACGAGATTCTTCAATACCGTGATGTGGACATGTTGATCCAACACATTCACAACATCCATCAAGGAACCATCTATAGGCATTGGCTCCCATTGAATTGCATGTTTCTTTGCTGTAAAATAGAGGAAAGTAATCATTTAAGTAGAATATTTTAAGTTACTTAAATTACTGATTTGCTTACCATTTTCTCATTGACATACAACCTGACATGTAAGCAACACTACAATTAACGGTAATTGTCTTTAAATCTGCAATATTTTGTAGATCATTATCAGCAGATTCTGTAAAATAATTAAAGTATTTAAACCTGCATCCATTGTCAAGTGAGTAGCTTGCTTTACTTACGAAGAAAATTTTTTTGACTATGTGACATTGTTTGAACATCAAAATCTACTGGGAATGTAAAGACTGACCACTTTTCCTCATCCGAATCTTCTATTAATGCAGAAAAAAGTCCAGGAATGTGATCTTCAAGAGTCTCTGAATGAGACTGTTTTGATAGTGGATTTATACGAGTCTCGTTTGGTTTGGGACATAAATCGACACAAGAGCAGCACTCTTTCCAAAGCCAGCTCAGGCAATTTACACAATCATCACAACAAGAGCATGTCTTAATATCACATTTACACTGTTGAGTTAACATACATTTAGAGACTGCTGATGCACATAGCATTTGATTACATGACGAAGTGAGTTGTATTTCGAGTAGCAGCGTGACTGATGCTAAAAGTAGCACAGAAAATATCCTTTCATTCATTCTATTGACAATTTCCTGGAAGGATGAAAAGAAGGAAATTCTAGATAACAAGCGTTCATTGTTATTTGTGGGCATTAGTAATTATTGTGAAACATAAACACAAACGGGTCACACAGGTATAAACAACAACTGATCTTCTGTACGCAGTAAAGGAATTTAGGACAAAATTTCTCTTAATTACATTACACAATAAAATGATCTGATCAACAAATGAACTGATAGCTGATTATATTATATGCCTAATACTTTTGATGATGAGATCATTCTAAGTCAATCAGAGCTGTTTTTAAGGTCAACAAGGAAATAACTCAAATAAACAAAATATTTTATTTCAAAAAAAAAACTTTATGAATTTTGTCATTTTGAGCAAATTATTGAACTTAATTTCAATTTCACTGGATGTACAGCTATTAAACTCATTATCCTCACCCTTTTGTTTAACAATTTAAGTACTCTGCTTGCACAAATTAAATATTTTTGATCACACCAAAATTTCTTTTAAAAATAAAGTAAAAATAAGTTGTCGAATAAATTCAAATTTTTTCAAACCGTTAATATTCGCACTATTAAAATACTTATAGCTAGATTCTCAGAAGACAAATGTTTCGGAAATAAATTATTTCTTCTCACATCATTCAAATGGTATGAATAGGCAAACAAATAAGATTTTGTGGGAAGAAAAGTCAAATATTGCGAATTCGATAATTAATTAAATTTGGAGTTTTTTGTCAAGCTTAATTGACACAAATTGACATTCTTATAAGATTTTTGTTGACGAAATTTTTTTCTCGTTTTAATTGCCTTTGTCAACGGATTTTGAAATTTTAAAAAATTGTTCAAAAAGATACAGTTCAATTTTTGAACTTTAGATTTGAATTCTGAAAAACCGTTAAAATTTGAATCCTGAAAAATACGTTTAAAATTCGACTGCAAATGAAATATTATTAAAATCAGGCACAGCAATTAATCTATTTACTTTTAAGCATTATTTTCCCATTTTTATTTATACTTTATTTAGTCAAAACTCATTTTGAATTTTCGAATCCATAACATGCAGTTTTAACATTATTATGCAGAGAGCATAAACTCATCGCTTATATTTTTCATGACTTTTTAATCACTGCACATTACGATGTGAAAAAATTCAAAAATTTTCTATTCAGGAAAGAAATTAAGTTGATGTCATCGTAATTACTGTAGATTTGCATAATATTCATTTTTAAAATGTAAAGGAAAAAATCAACAAAAATGCATCTTTATTCAATTTACCATCCCATAAGATTTAATTTTTTTTTACTTTTAATATTTTTTAATTTATTTTCATCAATTTTCCCCAGGATTTCCATTTTCATTTTCTTATTTTTTGGATTCATAATATTAGTTTTTTTACTTTAACATGCTTTTGTATCATAATTTTTTTAATGATGATGTACGGATTATATATTAACGTAGTGATGCTTTGAAGATCATTAGTGCTGCTTTCTTTTTAACGCTTTTGGTCATGCATTAGAGAATTGCAAAATCGATAAATGAAGGTAGAAATCTGCTTTTTATTTCTAAGAAAATTATTGAAATTTTAAATTAAAACCAAACGGCTATTTATTTGAAAATTTTAAAATCAAATTTTTTGAACTTTAATATTCAAATAACTGGTAACCGTTATTTTTCAAATTTCGAATATCCGTTAAACATCAAGTCAAATATTTGAATTTTAACATTTGAATTTTTTATGACAGTTATTTTTGAACTCTAAACGAGTAACAAGGAACTCTGATGTTATTGTAATCTCTAGACTCAATACCTCATTTAAAAAGAGAAAAAGCACTAAGTAGTCTCGGCAAGCACAACACTGGATTAACATGAAACGGAAAATTTCATCTAGGTATGAAAGTCAAGTCATATATGACCAACCACTGGAAATAGTAAGGAAACGATAAGATATACATAATAAGCACAACGAAAAAGAGACTTAGGAAAAATAATAAGAATAATATAAAGGAACAAATAATAGAAAAATATGCGTTTCTTAATCTTTGATATTGAAAACGATAGTTTTTAAAATATATTCATAACATTAATTGATTAAATTAATAATGGACACATGTCTATTATTCTTTTAAATAAGTTTTTGACTTTTTCTTTTCTCATTTTTTTTTAAATTACAGTAACTGATTTTCAACCCAAATTTTATAAAACTCGATGAAAAAAAAAATCGTCAAATTTTTGAATCTACAAGACCAGCAAAAAATTGAAGATTTTCATTGTTCTTACTTAAATTAATTCATAAATGTTGTGTGGTATTATATTTTTAATTCAACAAATGTCCCCCCGCGACTAAGAAAAAAAAAACAGAATTAAACCAGATATAGAAATAATAATAATAATAATAAAAATCGTTTGAAAATTTTAATTAAATCACCCTAATTAGTTCCCATCATCATTTCATCTTTATGGATGTTCTTCCTTACAAAATGAACAAAATAAATTGTCACATTCGACACACATTGGCTGGAAAAATTAAATGATGAGCTGCTTCTTCAGAAAACAGAGACAATAATCGGTTCTTAATGCATTCAGAGGACAAACTTGCCGAGTATCAAGCCAAATATAGCCATAGCAACAGCTGCAATTACCCAAATTATAGGCATTTGTTGTTGTCCCAGTTGTGGTGGTGAATAAGGATTTGAAATAATTTTGGCTGATGGCGATGTTGAGCTTATGTCCTTTTGATTTTCTAGCATGGCTTTCAAACGAATTAATTGCTCCTATTTAACAACATTAAGAAATATTATTTAAATATGTGATCCCAGGCATATCCATAAAAAATTTACCTTTAATTCCAAATTTTCTTGATGCATTTTGCTGTTCTCCTCGCGTAAATCTCGAACCTCAGTTGTCGCTCTTACGAAATCAACTTCAATAGATTTGCTGACTGGATCAATTGCTGACGATCCAACAGCTGTTTGTATTTGCGATTCTGTCGTTCCCGTTTCACTCTTTAGCATTTGCGTTGTTAATTGACTAACATTGCTCTTCTCATTAACCTTTTCATTTGGTGTCTCAAATGTGCAACGTAACTTTGCGTCCATTAATTGCTCTGGACTCACGTCCTTCCATAACTGCTCAACATTGATGTCTCCTTCAGGAACAACCATCGATTGTACCATAAACTTATGCTTATTTTTCTCATTCGGATCAAATACAAATGGTTGCAGGCAAACTACAATTATGGTAATTCTATAGATTGTTCTGATTGATAATAGTCAGCAATACTTACTTGCAATTTCCACAGAGCTTTTAGCATCAACGACTCCACAGTTTGGACGTACACAGTATTTTTTTGGGGCTGTTGTTTTAATCTTGAACGCAATCTTTTTGTCAGTTGGATTTTTCAGACTCATATGTGATGTAACGGGTTGTGTGAATGGACCTTAAATATAATGGAAATTAATGGATATACGATAAATAGTAGTAATCTAAAAATATATTGATGAGTCAAGTGCAAATTGACATAGCGAGAACACATGTTGAGGAGTTTAAATTTACATGATATCAAGTGAAAAGTTAAAATACGCACACACGTAGCTACTTTATTTTCAACATGAGAACTGAAAATTACGGAAGGTCATGGCATTCTTTCTATACATGCTGTTTTGATATTGTAGCTATTTTAATTCAATAAATGTTTTTGCAATTTTAATAAAAATAAATTTCCTTACAGACATATTTATTGGACTTGAAAATTTACAACGCATATTTGGTATGCTTTTATTCGTTCCGGCGCAGGAGGTCATCGTCTTTTCAGCTGACTGACTGGCTAATGAATATGATTGCATAATCCTGCATAATCATATCAAATGTCTATTAACTTTGGATTATTATAATGAAACTATCCTCGTATGAATGTCAATCAACAAGTCATATCTTGTTTATTAATGTACATTCTTATTCCTTTATTTCTCTTCGAATCACAATTACAATTCAACTTTTCTTTTCTCAGATAAACGTGATTCAAATTACTGACATTGTTTTATTTCTAGAGCATTTTCCAAAAGAGGTTTGGGATATTAGACTAAAGCTTTTTGAACCGAAGAGTTTCCTTTATCGTTTAAGGAACAACATCAATAATGATAATGATGATGTCATAAAATACAGCAAAGAAAATTGACTTCTTTTATTATTGATAAATGTTATCTTGATAACGCCGGCATTATTAAGTCATAACAATAAGTGTGGAAAACCGTGAAGGAACAAAAGTTAAGCATGATATTAGAAAATTTGTTGTGTATACAATAAGATATCTTCAACGATATATATTTTCTCGGTTATATACAATTTTATCGATTTTTTATTCCTCGACTCTTTTTCTTCATTCAGAAAAAAAAAATATTCCATTCACATATTTTCCTGCCACTTCCGACGTAATTCGTAATTCGATGAAAAATTAAAAATTTATTATTTATCCCTGATTTGTCTCTCTCGCACACTTTCTCATTCACTCGCTGCTATCTATCTAGTTTCATAACTATTTAATTCTCTGTCGAAACTTGACAGAATGCCGTGTGATAAGCACTTTTTAAGTCTGTCTTCAAATTGGGAGTGACACGAAAAAGAATTAAAAATTGATTTGAAGGAACTTTTTCTTCACTTTTCTTGAATAATTGCACACAAATGATGATTTTGGTCGAGAGCATACATATATTAGCCAGTTCGTCCGAGAGATATACATTTCTTTTCGTGTGTTGTTTTTGGGCCACCACTCATTTAATAATAATAAGCAGCATTTTATCAGGAAAATAAAAATAGAGATGAAGTTTGCGGCCTTAAAATTATTTCATTTTTTTTTCATCTTCTGTCTTTATTTCAGTAGCAAATGAGTGAACCGTCACATAGCTCTTTCTCTTGCTTAATTTTTCTTTACGTCATAATATCAGAAATCCGCACAGATCGATTAGAAGCGAGAATAATAAATAATAATATAATTTAAGAGAGACCACGTATGATTAGTGAGATTTGGTTTGCATGATATCGATCGATAATTGTAACGACTCTTTGTTATTTTTGTTGTTATTCTTGCCAGCCTGCCTTTTTTACAACAATAAAAATCACTTTACCGAACATTTACTGTATCTTGGTTTTTTCATCATACTGACTTTGCTGATGATTAATACAATTTTTTCGAGAACTCTAAATCATTCTTTTTCACTACTAATTATGGATGTTGCTATGTGAAATGCATTATTTAGATCATGTCTATGCAAATAATGCATAAATTGCACATTTTTGACTGTTTTTTGTGGGTTTTTTTGCACAATAGACTCTTTTTTTCACAAATGCTTTTTCATCACCAAACTTACCCCGAAACTTCAATTCTTGAGCCGGATCTATAATTAAAACATTTTCTGGCTTCGACATTGCTGTTATTAGTCCTTTATTACACACAAAAACAATGAAATTAATCAATTATTCTTCAATTCTCAAATTATCTCAAAAAATCGTATTTTTCCGTTTTTTCTGCTCAGTTGTTGCCCCGTTTTCACTTTTTGCTCAGTTTTTTAAATCGCATAAAACCGTTAACGGTTGGAATCTGACTTGAGCTTTGTCGAGTTGAAACTCACTGTCAACATATTAAATTAATTAAGTTAAAACTGGCTTTAGAAAATAAGAGGGTCGGAAAATTATACTCTCTCCATTTCAAGCCCCATACTAATCCTTTCAGATTAATAAAATTTATTTTTCGAAATTCAACTCATCAATGTAATTGCCCAAATTTCTTTTTCGAATTCTTCAAATTTGTCAAAACCGTTATCTAATGATTTGCTGATAACAACAAAAACAATTTAAAAACAAAAAAAAAATATCAAAAAAAAAGTTTAATTCAAGCTATATGTTAAGCTCAGCTGAAAATGAGAAACTGTAGAATTTGCTTAAAGACTGACATTCTGGATGACATGATTGTATGCTTTGAAAACACAGATTTGATTCAGGATCTTTACTTCCTGTCAAATGTTGCGGTAAAAAAATGCTATTCAATATTTATAATTCACGATGTTTAAATAAATTAATTTAGACCGTAGAGATTGAAGGAGATGTAGCCAAAATATGCAGACGATGTGTCAAAAACATCAAACAAGCAGCAGAATTCAAACGACTTTGTATAAAATCAGATACCGAAAGGAAAAAAATCAGTAATGAACGATTTTTATGGTTCACAGAACTACAGAATCTCAAAATCACGGATTCGATTGATGTGACAGAGGCTGTATCTGTTTCAAATGAAAAAAATACTGAAAATGTCAATAATAGTGAGGATCCAGAACTCGAAGATTTGTTACTGGAAGGAAATGATATTTTAGCTGAATTAGAAAAGTATGAGAAGAATCTGAATGAACTTCACCTGCATGATCCAGCGAGCATAAGTAATGAGAATAGAACAACTGTAAATGACTTTATTGAATACTTAACATACGAACAATTAAACCAAGTGACAAATGACATTTTAGAACTATTAAATATCAATGACTTTGTGAATGGATATACTTTAATAGCCTAAAATCATAATACACAAAACAGTAAACTTTATAAAATAAAAAAAGCTTTTTCATTAAATGAAATATCTCATAAATAGTTCAGTCATAAAACATGACTGAAATAATGATTATGGAGGCACTACGATAAAATTTGAAAATTTCAACTCTTCAAAGTTTATTGCCAATTGTTTAGAATTTTCCACAGCAAATTTCAATTTAATAAATAAAATATGATTTATGGCAATTGCCTTCAAAATCTTTTTATTTTTTGCTAGAATTTTTTTTGTCTTTGTTTCAATTCATTGGATAATAAATTAAATTTAAGCTTTAAGTTCTTAGTTCCATTAAAAACATCATCAAGTACTAATTAATATTAAGGAAGTCAGTTAAAGTAAAAAATGAAGCAAAGAAACGAAGAGAAAACTAGAAAAAGTGCTTTGCATAAATTGAACCCAATATTACAACCATCCCTCCCTAGTAACCAAAAGGTAGATCAATTTTAGATCAACTTAATTAAAGTACACTAACACTATGGAAAAAAATAAAAGACATAATTTAATTAAGTCCAACACTGATGAACGCCCAAGACTCGCACACAAACCTGAGGAAGATAAATAATTAATTGAAAGCCCCATACAAATTTAGAGAGAACTTATAATAGTGATTTCTTCGAGCAATTGTGAAGTATATGGCAAATGCCAAATTTGGAACAAATATTATTTTGCTGCAAAAAAATATTTTTTTGACGATTATATTCACACCGTTTTCACGTGTGAATCTATTGGTTTTGTTCAGATTGAAAAATCAGTTTTTCGCATTTTGTGAGAAAACAAAGCAAAATTGGTTATAAAAGGTCACAGAAGAAAAGTTTGAGCCTGAAATTTTACATCATTTTCAAAAAACAGATTTCAAATTGGTTGTGGCATTGCTGAGAAAATCGCAAAATTCGCTTTCTGTAAGCAAACAAGCAAGCAAGTTAATCAGCAAGAAATCTCAATAACGAGACATTGTAGAGACTTCTAGTTTTTTACATTTGATCCGTGCTGCTCTATAGAAGAGCTTCAATGCACAGAGGCAATGAGTGATCACTGCGCTGTGTATTTCCAAATCAAAACATCAAAAATCGACAGAACTGAAAATACAGTCTACAGATATGACTACAAAAACGCAAACTGGAAAAAGTTCAAAGCACAAATTTCACGCCGCATTGAAGACAACATTGGAGAAAATTCTTGCAATACAACAGATGAGATCGAGAATCACATTAAGATTCTCTCTGAACTCATCATGGAAGCGAGGAACTCAAGTGTAAAAATGAAAAAGATCAAGTTCGAATCAACTAAACTCACACCGGAGATTAAAGATCTAATCAACACAAAAAGGAGTCTTCGTCGAAGATGGCAGAGAAGCAGAGATAATCAACTCAAATCTGAATTGAATTATCTGCAGAGAGTCATCAATGAGAAAATTAAAGAACTCAAAAACAAAAACTGGAATAAGCGTCTCTCAGAGATTCAACCGTCAAACCAAACAGTTTGGAGAATAGCAAAATTTTGCAAAAAAGGTTCAAAAACAATGCCTCCATTGACAAATCTGGGTAAAACGTTCATCACCAACAAAGAAAAAGCCAGCGCACTCAGCGAGTATTTTCGTGAAGCTCACGAAAATCCTCTGGAACAAAACGATCCACAACATACACAGGAAGTAAACAACACAGTCAAAGAAGCATTGGAACAAGACAATGATGAGAATCCAGAACTAACAGATGTAAACGAAATCGTGAGCATCATAAGAAATCTGAAAAATCCAAAAGCTCCGGGACTAGATGAAGTCAACAACATACTCATCAAAAATCTTCCTGAAAAAGGTTTCGAATACTTGAAATTCATCATCAATTCGTGTCTGAAACTCAACCACTTCCCCAAAGTTTGGAAACATGCAAAAGTGACTCCTATTCCAAAACCTGGAAAACCAGCAAATGAGCTAAGCAGCTACAGGCCAATAAGTCTACTCAGCTCAATAAGCAAAATACTGGAGAGAGTATTACTGAATAGAATCAACGATCATCTTGAGGATAACAACATCATCCCAAACCAGCAGTGCGGCTTCCGGACTGGAAGATCAACATCTCACCAGCTCATCAAAGTGATCAAATCAGCAAAAGAAAACTTAAACAAGAAAAAGTCAACAGGCATGATCTTCCTGGATGTAGAAAAAGCATTTGACAGAGTCTGGCATAACGGACTCTTGTACAAAATGCTCAAACTGAGATTTCCACTGCCACTTATAAAAACTGTAAGATCTTTCCTCAGTGAAAGATCTTTCGCAGTTTTTATTAAAGGTCAGTTCTCAGAAATCAAGGTAATCAAATTCGGAGTGCCACAAGGAGCAGTGCTTTCACCAACTCTCTACAACATCTTCACGTATGATGTTGTAAGAGAGACAACCAACAACATCGGTCTTTTCGCAGATGATACAGCACTGTATCATTCTGCAGAGAACTCGGCCGATATTGTGACACATCTACAGCACACAGGAAGAAAAGTTCAACAATACATGAACAAATGGAAGATCAACCTCAACAAACAGAAGACTCAAGCCTTATTCATCACAAACAGGCACTCCAGGCAACTACCAGGAAATAACATCAAATTTCTCAACGAAAACATCAAATGGGAAACAGAAGCTAAATATCTGGGAATGGTGATCGACAAGAGAGTGACATTAAAGCCGCATGTGGAGTATGTGACCAATAGGGCTCACACCGCATTAAGACAGCTTTATCCGCTCATCAGCAGGAACTCACAACTCGACGTACGAAACAAACTTCTCATCTACAAGCTAGCCATCAGACCAATATTCACATATGGTTGTCCAGCGTTTGGAAGCATGGCAAAAACCCATCTTCAAAAACTTCAAGTACTGCAAAACAAATTCTTGAGAATTGTTCTCAATAAAACAAGATATGAAAGGATCACCGATCTTCATACAGAAGCGAAAATACCGTCCATCGAAGACTACGTCGGAAAGTTGCAAGCGAACTTCAACAGTCGTCTTGCATCTCGAAACACCGAATAAATCAAATGAAATACAAAAGAAAGTAAAATCCGTAAATGAAATCAAAATTAAGAGACAAAAGGCAAATTGAATGCCTGAAACCTTAAAACAAAAAGCAACAAAATGTATAGAAACTTTGTACATACTTAAATTTAAATGTAAATAAATAAAAAGTTTAATTTAAAAAAAAAAAAAATCTATAGAAGAGCTGTATTGTTTTTGGGCAAGGTAGGAACAGCCGTTGCTTCAGAAAAAGCAAAAAACTTTCCTTACTTACTAATGTTTTAAAACAAAAGTTTACTGTGATTTCTTTTATTTTAAATTAAACTTTGGATGAAAAAAATTTTTTTGAGCAAAGAACCAAGAAGGAAGTACATTTTCAATTTTGGACTAGGGGCGACCCTAGTCAAAATCAGTTTGTCACTTTTTTTTTCGAGGGTTTATCCAATTACAGTGAAACTTTGTGAGAGTATACTAATATTTATACAAAACAGTTTTAAATATCTAAAGCAAGAAATGTATTCTATATGTCGTCAGATCCAAATTTTATAAATTTGGTTGTACATTCAAAAACAACGTGACTTAAAATTTTGTCCAAAAAAAAATGATTTTTATTAATTCAGAAATGTGTGACCTGAAGATTAGAATGCTCAAACAAAGTTTTACTGTATTTGGATTTATCCTCGAAGAAAAAAGTGAAAAACTAGATTTTGACTGGACCTGTCCCAAGTTCATAATTGAAAATGTATTTCCTACTTGGTTCTTTGCTCAACAAAATTTTAGAATGTTTTATTTGTATTTGTTTTAAGCATTAAAATATTTGTGCAAAGTTTCAATCCATTTGGATAAACCCTCGAAGAAAAAAGTGACAAAATTGATTTTGACTAGGGTCGCCCCTAGTCCAAAATTGAAAATGTATTTCCTTCTTGGTTCTTTGCTCAAAAAAGTTTTAGGATGTTTTAATTGTATTTGTTTTAAGCATTAGAATATTTGTGCAAAGTTTCAATCCATTTGGATAAACCCTCGAAGAAAAAAGTGACAAAATTGATTTTGACTAGGGTCGCCCCTAGTCCAAAATTGAAAATGTATTTCCTTCTTGGTTCTTTGCTCAAAAAAAGTTTAGAATGTTTTATTTGTATTTGCTTTAAGCACTAAAATATTTATGCAAAGTTTCAATCCATTTGGATATACCCTTGAAGAAAAAAAGTGACAAAATTGATTTTGACTAGGGTCGCCCCTAGTCCAAAATTGAAAATGTACTTCCTTCTTGGTTCTTTGCTCAAAAAAATTTTAGAATGTTTTATTTGTATTTGTTTTAAGCACTAGAATATTTATGCATAGTTTCAATCCATTTGCAATAAACCTTTGAAGAAAAAAAGTGACAAAATTGATTTTGACTAGAGTCGCCCCTAGTCCAAAATTGAAAATTGATTTTCTATGGTGTACTTTTGTCAAAAAAATTTTTTGGATGTTTTATTTGAATTGACATAATTCTGACATAAATCACATACCAATATTACTTTTTGTAATGCATAGCTTAAAAAAACGAAATCTAAAATTTCGACTACCCCATCTGAATTTTGTTCATACTCTTCACTGTGGAAACCAAAAAACAAATTCTTTATCTTAAAACACTTGACAAAATAGCGACATAATTCAGGATTAATTACTTTTTAATAATATTTTAACATTTACGAGAAAATGTGGTTCAAATAAGTGTGAAGTATTTCCGAGATTTGGACCAAAATCAGCTATACTGGTTCATAGTGTTCCCGAGGGTGACAAAATTCAAACTAAGTGTTTTTGTAGCTGACATAATTATGACATAAATTAGGTATAACTTTTGAACTGTGTCGATATGGGTCTCGGCCGTACTTCAAGCCCACCCTTCAAACTTATGCTGAGCAAATCTTGGTCTATCCATAAGACTTTTGATGGTACGGTGTGAATATATCCGCATTGGGTTTCTACCCGATACAATGGTTTTTCATAGGATTTGATCCTAAGTAGGCTCGGGTAATACTTCGATGGAACTCTTCTGTTACATATTTGTAAAACAAATATTTTCCATATAATAAATAATGATACATTTGATCTTCTATCGACGTCAAAGGAAGATTATATGGAACATTTTGGTTACTAGGTATCAATTATTAAGGCAAAGTCCTTAATTAAGTATTGTAGCAGTTGGGAGACGAGATATGTTGCAAAGCGGTCAGCGAAATATGTCTACAAGATTAACCAATTGGCAAGAATGGTTCACAAGAATAAGGAAAAATATAATAACATTGACAAGCTATTTCAATTACTAAGAGAACTAGAATTTAAATTAAAGGATATTCGAGATATTGCAATTGAACGTAAAACTCTCGACTTTTATTTTTTAAGATTTTTAAGAACTATAAAAAAATTATTTTTTCTTAGATCAATTTTCTAGCGCACAATTCAAAACTTATTTGAATTTTAATTCGGAAATAAACATGGAATTTAGTAGCTTGGAGGAAGATGATGATTCCAATAATGAACGTTTGTTAAAAAAGTTTTAATAGAATTAAACAGTAAATTACTTTTAATTAAATATTTCAGTTCCAATGGGCACATCACATCCAACGACCGCAAATACATCTAATACAAATCGTTTCAAGCAATTAGAATGTTACTATCCTTTCAACCAGTTCTTTTGATAATGTGTGTCATTTATATACTTATTATTTTTCATTATTTATGTTGGATGCATAAATATATGCCAAATATATTTGCTTAGTGTGTTAGGTACATATAAAATGCGTACGAATTTAATTATAAACGGAAAACAGCATCTATTTCAAACGTTTCCTTTTGCCCTAAATTTGAAGCTAGCGAGTAATGAAACTAAAATTGATTCATTTCTTCCTGTGACAATGACTGCAATTTTCTTAAAATTGAGATTTTTCCAGCAATTCAATTGATTTTTATTTGGTCTTTGGCTTCTACTTATGCCATTTTGACTAAAACCATTTATTGTCAAACCATTGATAAATTTTTTTATCACTCAAGTTCATTTTAAAGTCTACACATCGGCCTTTCACCTTTGATGTGCATGACATGACTGGATATTCTTCTTTGAAACATTGATGGCCTAATATATTGAAATAAAATATTCCAATTTGTGTAGACACAAGTGTATTTACTTTTTTCAGGCACTTATAGAACTTTTCATCGCAATCACAATGAAGCCTAGTGAATTTTCCTGGATTCTTGAGTCCAAATCTTTCGCCATTAGGTTCTATTGTATCCTCACAGCTATCATGCTGACGACAGCAGCTGTCCGTTAGATAAAAGTATCCAATGTCGTTTATGTCTTTGGCATTATCACCACTTCCACACCACTTTGTCCCTGAAATATGTAATAAATCAGTACATGCTTTATGGTTTACAAAATTTTAGCACATACCTAAAAATATAAGCTTTAAATCCTGTTTGTTACCAACTGCTGGAATCATGTGTGTATTGCTATCCAGAATAATATCAATTCCTTTATTTGTTTCATTTTTATTGTGACGATGCTGAGCATTTCTATCATGTTGCTGACTTCCGATCACATTCTTTATTGTTCCGAGGAATAAATCAAGCACATTTGGAGATAAATGTCTATTTTGATTATCAAATATTCCAAAATGCTCATTATGATGACTGTGCTTCTGCATGACAATGATTTTAACGATTAGGTACAAATTATAAAACCTAGGTAAGTGGAAAAAATGTCGTCGTTTAAATTCATACCTTATTTGACTGCTTAAAACTAGATTGTTGATCAAAAAGCTCAAAATCAATGTTATTACTGAAACTCTTAAAATTATCCTTTATCTCATCAGTTGCGTCTCTTGATTCTTTATAATCAAAGAAATTATCTTTTTGTCTTTTATCTGTCCATGCTCGTTCATCAAATAGTTCAAAACCAACACTAATGTCCAATATAATTAATAGGACACAAATATTTTTCACCACAAAATGCATTACTGTTTTCATATAATGCACAGAACTTTCTAAATCAATTGCACAACCACAAATGATGCTCGAGTAGCAGTAATGACAGGTAGCAAGTTATCAGATCAATTACTATCAAACGAATATGACACATTAAACAGCTGCTTCATATTATTAGATAGCGACAAGGCAAGATGAGGAATCACACATCTAAACTTGTTTTTCCGCAATTCAATGTGACAAATTTAATCGATTTGAAATCAGTAGCACAAATGAATATCTTTCCGTCTAGCACAAATGAATGAAAATAATTTTAATTATATTTTATACTGTAGACAGCAGAGTTGCGAGTGAGGTGATTAGAATAGAAGTCTTATATATGGAACTTAACTAAAGTATATAACCAAGATCAAGAGAGGTGTGGTGCTTAATTTATGTGAGTATTAGGGGTGAATTTGATCATTTAAGGGTTTGAACAGCTTAATCAGGTTTTTGTTTTTTAATTACTAACTTGGCATACTCATGTGTGAAGACTTAAACTATAAAACTAGTCACGTTCTCAATTTAATCAGTTAATTCTACTAAGGGTCGTTCACTTATGACGTCCGAAATTAACGGTCATTTTTCAAAAAAGAACAACGGATTTCCAGGAATTTCTATTGTTCTTTTCTTGCTGACCCCCCCCCCCCCCCCCCTCCCCCTGGACGTCATAAGTGAACGGCCCCTAGAAAACATTCGCAATCCCAAATACAACTCTGCTGTCAACAATATTGTGTTTATTATTACCATCAACAGTAACCACACATAAAGAATGAGATAGAAAAAGCAGAATCAAGTTCACTTTCAATTGATTTATTATAAAAATAATTATGTAAACATTTTTGCTAACATACGCGAATAACTGATGATGATGATTATTGCTGTGAAACTGATTGCGATATAATAACCGATTACAGTAAAAAATTTCCGCTAGTTCTAACGACAATAATATAATAAACAGTGTTTTATGACAAAGGTCAGTTTATTTTTAAAATATGATATTTTCTTTTTGATGTTTCGTCGATGAGGTTTGAATTGCGACTGAAATCATTCAGCAAACAAAAATGCAATTGAATTTTAGATACCCAAGATAGAATGTACATTATCTTTACATTCTGTTTTCTTGCAATTATCCAAATAAGTGCAACTTCTTGTAGATACCCGAGCGGCACAAGGTGGAGGGTGGTCTCCATATGGAATCCATATGAAAGCCACCTCCACTATGTGGGAAGTAAATGGATGGTTATTTTTTCATCCTTCATATTGATTCCATTTGGATTCCATATGAACTCCGCTTTTTCTTAAATCAAATACCGAAAAACTCGTGCTTTTGAATTTTTAAAAGACAGAGGTCAGATCTTACTGTAATGGATTGAAATATTGTCGAAAAGCTTTACTGAATCATATTGCTTCATTTCAAGCTTTAAAAAAGCAAAAAAGGATAATTTTTTGTGATTTTGTATGAAATTACATACTTCACAAGCGCATGCAGAAATCACTATTATATGGGGTCGTTTAATTTGTATGAAAATTTTTAATAATTTCTTATGTTTCTCACGCGTGTGATCGAGACTTAGAAATTGCTGTGGTTGCGACTTAATTAAATTAAGTTGTAAATTTTTCAATAGTGTTAGTGTACTTTAATTAAGTCCACTAATACAGCTATAAATCTTGATATAAAAATTGCGAAACATAGAAAAACACGTAGAAAATCGTACCAAAAATCCTTTGAAAAATACTTCCATTAAACCTCCGTTTGACTACCACAAATGGATCCTCCATCCTCCATCAAAACCTCTCAAATGACTTCCATTTGGTGTTAATAAATGCACGTCCCACGGAGGATTTTCGGAGCTTTGGCTCCGTCAAAGTTCCATGATAGTAAGGTTTTCGGAAGATTTTCAAATGGAAGGTGGAACATGGAGGCTCCGTATAGCTTCCATATGGAAGGCAAATGGAGCCTTTGTGCCGCTCGGGATAAGACACGTATGTGAGTATTTTGGAAGAGCAATTCAAAAATTAAATACAAAAACAATTTAAAATTCGTAGTTGTTTGAAAGAATTACGTGTATTATATGTAGCTTAAACGTAAATATTCATTCACTAATTGTTGAATTCTCGATAGCACGCATCATAATTTGCAATCAGGATAAAGCATAGAGTAACGATTGTTTTTGGTTTAAATTTTTTTACATACAAAGCTTCTAAAAGCTTATATCTGAAGCTTTTTGGAATACCAGTTGATTCTCCCCATAAAATGTGGTTTGTTCTCAGTAAATTAATCCAGAAAAGAGAAATATATACTGACAAAGTCGTAAACATGATTATGGCAATTTGGTATAGTTCCAAAATTTTTGATAAAAGTAAAATAGTAAACAAAACTGTCAGCAAAGTTCTTAAAGAGAATACAGCTCGACTAGCTTTACATAGAATTGAAAGAATTAAATTTTTAATCGAAATTAAATGAAACAATAAATATTAAGCAATAATTTTCGCAGTTGTCGGTCACATGAATAATGATGAGCATCAATTAATAAATTAAATTGTCATGTTTACTCTTTTTGTGTGGATTGTTTAAGTATACTGAAATGTACGAATATTTTATACTATGGGTCTTCGATTTGAGTAGATTCGATTTGATAGATTCGATTTGAGTAACGAAAATTAATGAATAGAAAATTAAAAACAAAATTTTTGTATCGGACATTTTTCATAAAAGTAAATAATTTAATTTGAATAGGATTTTTCTGGAACAAAACACCTACTCAAATCGAGGACCCCCAGTATAACAAATGAGATCAGGCGCGTAGCCAAGCGGGATTTGAGTGACAAATCCCCCTAAGTTAACAGAAATTTCTTCAATTTGCTAGGTTATTTATGAAAAAATCCAAAAAGTATATAAAAAAAATGATGTCTCCTTCTCTTCAAATTCCTGGCTACGCTCCTGGATAAAGTAAAATAAAGTAATCAAAAAATTTTAATACAAAATCAATAAATATTGTAATCGTATATAGCCGGTCATTAACTTATTACGTTCGCACTTTAGAGGGGATTGGGGGGAGGTTGAAAAATTGTAACAAAATGTAACAAAGGAGGGGACAAGAAGTATGTAACGTTCTAATTGTCGTCTGTCTTTTAAAATTTGTTTACAAATTCACACCAAAAACATTTTTTTAAATTTTCCACCTTTTTAATGATTTATGAATGTCCAGATCACTTTTGATAGCTAAGCAATACATAGTTTTTGTTATATAAAGTAACAAATCAATAGAAAACTGGTTTACAAGACTTTAAAATACAATCATAATTTGTGGAAATTTTCAAAATTAAATCAATCACAAGTTTAAAAGTAAATCTCTCTAAATCTGTCATTCATATGATGATTAATATGATCCTATCATTGTGATATTTACATTCAAAGTTGATTGAATTTTTCGAAATTCGTGACATTTTTGAATTTTCTTCAAAAAAAAAAACAAATTTTTGCTTTATATTACAATCCAATAAATCATGAGAATACTATTAGAATCAATCAAAACATGACCTATTGTCCAGCTACAGTATTTTGATGTTTAAGAAAAAAAAAACAAAAGAACTTTAACCGTCTTTTTAGAATAAAAAATTATCAAAATAAAATAAATTATGAACGTTCAGGGTTTTTTTGCGTAACGTAATAAGTGAACGGCCCCATAAGAGCATTTAATGCAAAAAACATTTGATCCATTGAACTCAATATACATATCCACCTCCTGTATTTTACGACATGTGTATAAAGAAAATTGAAATAAATTTAATGAAATTCTGCAGTGGGAATTTTTAAACTTTAGAGATTCCAAAATGCTGAACTTTTATCAGCTTTACTGTAAATCTTCTTCAAAATTTGACAAAGCTTTTTTTGCTACGATTCTGGTCCCAGAATACACTACAATAATCCTAGAATATAAATTCTTTGTTAATTAACATGTATCCACAAATGCGATAATAAAGCCACTTTACACAGAGTAAAACTCATTCCAAATATATCTAAAGCTTGAAGCTGATACAAAACCACTTGATATATGTGAAAGTTCAACAATATGGCTCACATGCAACACGAAAGTCGAACGTATTTATAGAAATCCCGGGTTGAATCGAGGATAATCCCAGATCTCTTTTCAATAAATCGATATACAAGTTATATTCATTTCAAATCGATCGAATAACATCGTACTTAAGTACGTAAATGTCAAAATTTCTTACCTTACTCTTCATCTAAACGACTTTTTTTTCCTCCCGTTCCATCATGTGCAAGCTTTCGATGGTAAAATGAATTTGAAACGAAGAATTCTTTTCATTTCAAATGTTTCTTCATGGATGAACATGTGTATGTCTTCATATTTTCCCTCTCTTTATTATGTGCATGTACAATATTAAGTTTATCAGTAATGCATGCAGAAATATGAAAAGCTTTTCTGCTTCTTTTTCTTCTTCATCGTTTTGCTTTTTAAAAGAAAATTTTTACAGCATACATTTTATCTTCTTTTTATTTTTTTCATTTCCAGAGGATAAGGATGAGAAGTACTCTCATGTGAATGAATGCATGAATGAAAAAGTTAATATACAAGTACGGAACTTTGTTATGCTTTTATTTACTTCCTGCATTAATGCCTTCTTTGTGCTTTATCTTGAATTCTCAAAAGTGTAATCCATCACTAGATGTGCCTATTAATAGCGCTGTAAGTACGCGCATATAAAAAGGTTTAATATCCCAAAATGAAATGCCGAAGGAACCAATTAATTATTTAGTTGTTTGCATACATAAAAAATTCAGATCAGGTAGATAGATTAATTGTGTGTAATAACAATAAAAATCAATCAATTCGCTATAAAAGACATTTCATAGAATGTGGTTGGTATCATATGGTTAGCGAAGAAGAAAAGCACAATAGCCATATATAATCCTTGGTTATACTCTAATCATCGTCCTATCATTAATTCTTTGTGGTGAAAATAAGTATTCAATTTTCATGATTTCCCAACATTATAATTGAAAATCGATTGATAAAAAAAAAAAATGCTAAATGGAAGAAAGAAATGAAATGAAAATTCATCCATCGTTTTATTTCATTTCTTATGGCATTGAAATGTCAAAAACAGTCCTGTCGGTAGTTGGACATTTCAGAGAGAAAACATTTATGTTTTATTCTACTTTGTCCTGACTATAGTGCAGTGGCAAAAAAATAGTACACGGAAAAAATTGACATTCA